TGATGGTGATGATGAGGTGATGATGGTGATGGCGCCGACGGTCGCTGGCTCACTGCTCTGATTAAACGCCGTTCGGACGCCGGTGTGCAATAAGGATATTTTTTTTAATTGGGTCTCGCGGCGTCACTCGCTGCTGAAATGATTCGCGTGTGTGTGTGTGTGTGTGTGTGTTGTGTTCACCTAGTTGTGCTTGCGGGGGTTGAGCTTTGGCTCTTTGGTCCAGCCTCTCAACCGTCAATCTACTGGTGTACAGGTTCCTGAGCCTATCGGGCTCTAACAGATCTACATTTGAGGCTGTGTATGGAGTCAGCCTCCACCACATCACTGTACTCACCTAGTTGTGCTTGCGGGGGTTGAGGTCTGGCTCTTTGGTCCCGCTTCTCAACCGTCAATCAACAGGTGTACAGATTCCTGAGCCTATTGGGCTCGATCATATCTACACTTGAAACTGTGTATGGAGTCAGCCTCCACCACATCACTTCCTAATGCATTCCATTTGTCAACCACTCTGACACTAAAAAAGTTCTTTCTAATATCTCTGTGGCTCATTTGGGCACTCAGTTTCCACCTGTGTCCCCTTGTGCGTGTTCCCCTTGTGTTAAATAGACTGTCTTTATCTACCCTATCAATTCCCTTCAGAATCTTGAATGTGGTGATCATGTCCCCCCTAACTCTTCTGTCTTCCAGCGAAGTGAGGTTTAATTCCCGTAGTCTCTCCTCGTAGCTCATATCTCTCAGCTCGGGTACTAGTCTGGTGGCAAACCTTTGAACCTTTTCCAGTTTAGTCTTATCCTTGACTAGATATGGACTCCATACTGGGGCTGCATACTCCAGGATTGGCCTGACATATGTGGTATACAAAGTTCTGAATGATTCTTTACACAAGTTTCTGAATGCCGTTCGTATGTTGGCCAGCCTGGCATATGCCGCTGATGTTATCCGCTTGATATGTGCTGCAGGAGACAGGTCTGGCGTGATATCAACCCCCAAGTCTTTTCCTTCTCTGACTCCTGAAGAATTTCCTCTCCCAGATGATACCTTGTATCTGGCCTCCTGCTCCCTACACCTATCTCCATTACATTACATTTGGTTGGGTTAAACTCTAACAACCATTTGTTCGACCATTCCTTCAGCTTGTCTAGGTCTTCTTGAAGCCTCAAACAGTCCTCTTCTGTTTTAATCCTTCTCATAATTTTAGCATCGTCCGCAAACATTGAGAGAAATGAATCGATACCCTCTGGGAGATCATTTACATATATCAGAAACAAGATTGTGAAACTGTGTGTGTGTGTGTGTGTATGTGTGTGTGTGTGTGTGTGTGTGTGTGTGTGTGTGTGTGTGTGTGTGTGTGTGTGTGTGTGTGTGTGTGTGTGTGTGTGTGTGTACTCACCTAGTTGTACTCACCTAGTTGTGTTTGCGGGGTTTGAGCTCTGGCTCTTTGGTCCCGCCTCTCAACCGTGTGTGTGTGTGTGTGTGTGTGTGTGTGTGTGCGTGTGTGTACTCACCTATATGTACTGGTTGAGTTAAGCAACAGCTCTTAGGTCCCTCTCTGATCATATATATTTACCAATAATAATATGCAATGAATTAGTATCGATAGTAATTAGCTCCTTGTGGTACTCCACTCATTATGTTTCCTCATTAGCAGATCTCACCTCTTACCATGACCCTTTGTCTCCTTCCTGGAAGGTACTCCCTCGCCCAGCCTTTCACTCTTGCCAATACACTAGCCTACTTCTCTAGGTAAAATAAGAATGTTTTGTGAGCGTCAAGAGTTTTATAACCATCAAGGAAGATGCAATCTGCCCAAGCTCTCTGTCTGTCTGTCTGTCTGTCTGTCTGTCTGTCTGTCTCTCTCTCTCTCTCTCTCTCTCTCTCTCTCTCTCTCTCTCTCTCTCTCTCTCTCTCTCTCTCTCTCTCTCTCTCCTTTTTAAATTGTTGTCGTCTTCTCACGAAACTTTTAATTAGTCAAGCGCAATTTCTTTTCTTCTGGAGACTAAATTCATCTTTTTTTCAGTGGCCTACGAGTCGCTTTTTAAGTTGACTCTGTAGTATCTTGCAGGATAAATTTGTTTGTTATCTTGGTCTGTAGTTCAGTGGCTTCTGTCTTCCTTCTTTCTTATATTTTGCCCCCCTCATTAACCATTCTCCAACTCTCTGGTAGTTCCCTCATTCCAAGTGAGGAGCTGAACACTATATAGCGAGGGATCGGCATTGTGTACTACACCATTTGGTCCGGGAGACATCTCCCGTCACGCAGGGTGCAGTTGTGCCTCCACAGATCTCCAGTATCATCTCTTGATACTGGTAATGGCTCAAAAGGGCCACCACTTACGGGCTATTCATGCCCGTGCCACCTCTTGGGTGGCTTAATCTTTATCAATCAATCAATCTTGTGTACTAGAGCCAGCTGCCTCTTGTAGCACCCACGGTGAGGTATTCTCCGGGCCCCTGTGACTTTCCTGCCTCTTGTGGGCGTGTTCTTCCTCTTGTGGCATTTCTATTAGAGCTCGTAGATCTAGGGGCCAGGTCGGGTTCCATTTAAATAAATTTATATTAATTTATTTCTTATGTTAATAGATTTATTTCGATAGCGAAAACAGCCATGTTTCAGGCTTAGCTAAACCCGACACGTTTAACCCTACAGGGTGAAAAATGACTACTGCCTCTCTCTTACTTTGAATGATTAAAGAATATTCTTTGGGTTAATTTGTTAGTACAAAATCAGCAGCAATATTATCATTTTATTGTATTAAAGGCTAGTAAATGATGTCGTTTTTCCGACACCCCTAAACGGCGGGAAGGGGCAGGCCAAAATGGCTCCAGCAGAGCGGCGACAGAACACGCGGGAAATGACAACGGGAGACGACGGCTGTTCGAAAAAGAAAAAGAAACCGCGACAGCGTGAACTGGACGGGTGAAGAGCCCTACAAGGACAGTCGCTGTTGGTATCTTAACGACCCAACCACAGGTGTGATGATGTAACGGGACGAGTCACGACCCAATTGAAGGTGTAACAGCCATCGAGGAAGGGTAGAACTACACATCCGGAGGATCCAGAAGGAAGAAGACGCAATAGGCGGTCTAACAGTCATCCTGGTACGGTGACCACACATCCAGAGGGAAATGAACCCAACTGGTGGTCTAAGAACGATCCTGGACTTCGGTGCTGTTGCGGTATGTGTTGTCACACACATACACACACACACACACACATATAAACATGGCGGGATCCAAGAGTCAATGCTCGATCCTGCAGACACAAATAGGTGAGTACACACACACCAGGCGGGACCAAAGAGCCAGAGCTCAACCCTCGCAAGCACAACTAGGTAAGTACACACACACACACACACCAGGAGGACTAACACTCTCCCGCTCATTGTCTTGCGAGAGACCTCAAGAAGAAGAAGAAGCAACAGGTAATGCATAAGAGAGGGAGGGGAGGAGAGAGAGGCAGTGTAGCAGGAAAGGGAGGTCTGGGAGGGAAGGATATGGGAGAGGCGGTGCCTCAGGTAAGACTGTTCCACTTCAATCTGTCGCGGGCATTATGTGACGAGTCAAATGATGTGGGATAGGGTGAATATTGAGTGTGTGGGAGAGGGGAAGAGAGATGGGGGTGAGCATTGAGTAGGGAGAAGGGGGGGGGGGCAAGGGAAAAAAAGAATTAAGTGTAAATTAGGTGAAGAAAGGGGGGGGGGGTGGGGAAGACTGAGTAAGTATTCAGTAGAGGAGATCAGAGACATTTCCTCCTCTTATCTTGGGATTATGTCATGGGACGGAGTGCAAGAGTTAAGGGCTTGTGAGACTCATCGCAGATGTGTGGAGGAATGGTTACAGGTGTGGGAGGAAGTTAGTGCCTCAATGGAGGTTCTTGTCTAAGGAGATTATATGTTAAGTCAAGCATGGTGTTGGTGGTAAGGGGCGGAGGTGAGGGAGGGATGGAGGTGTGGAAGAGAGGGAGAGAGAGAGAGAGAGAGCGAGCGAGCAGCACACGGGAGGAGCTAGTGGTAGTGAGGAGCTTCGTGGCGATGTGGGCTTCAGCAGGCGGTGGTCCAGGGCTTCCGCTCCCACTAATACAAGTCTTCCAGCGCCTCCTTCTCCCTTCCTCTCATAGTAACTCTCTCTCTCTCACCCCTCCCACGGTGGCCACAGCACCCCCAGCGAGTCTCTCACTCCCACCACCTTCTTGGAGTGGGGGAAGACACAAATTGCATGCTCAGTGGTCGCCGTCCTCGACTCGGAACCAGGGTTCAGTCTCTGGCCACGACAGAAACGGTTGGGCACGGGTCCTTTAATTCTCAGTTGTCAAAGTAGATAAATAAGAACCTGGAGTCAAGCAACTGTTGTGGGCTGCACCCTGGGGAGGGTCTGAATAGTTGGCGTAGGGGGTAGACCTTGGTAAGGCTAAATATAGGTGTGAGTGTACTCACCTAGTTGTGTTTGCGGGGGTTGAGCTCTGGCTCTTTGGTCCCGCCTCTCAACCGTCAATCAACTGGTGTACAGATACAGACGGATACATCTGTGTGTGAGATGATCCGTGTGTTTGAGATGTACAATGTATAACATATGTCAGATCTATATCTTCAGATCCCTCTAAATATGTATTATATATGAATGATATATTTCTCCTCTATATAATATTTTTCATTTATATATATATATATATATATATATATATATATATATATATATATATATATATATATATATATATATATATATATATATATATATATATATTTATCAATATAATTATATTTGTATATATATTGTATTACTTAAGAATATACAAATTAGTTGGTCTTTATGCTATTTTTCATTGAAATATTGTGATGTACTTCCCGTGCCTTTAATCATCTTTGTTATGCCTTCTTGTCACATATTTGAAGTAATTCCATTCTTCCTCTTATTTCCTCCTGTCACGTTGTTACCACTCCCCCCGCCCCCCTCCCCTTCGTGTGGTCAAGCACTAACCGGTTCTTTGTCGTGGTCTGCAGGTATGGTTCAAGAACCGGCGGGCCAAGTGGCGCAAGCAGAAGCGGGAGGAACAGGAGCGGTTAAGGCGACTTCGTGACGACTCCAGCAGCAGCAGCCACGACCCTTCCCACCACGCCGCCGCGGACGACGCCCGCGACCCTGACCTCAGCAGCGACGACGAAGTCCGCGAGAACCTCACTTCGGCGGAGAGTAAAGCCTCGGGGTCGTCCCCGGGGAAGTCACAGTCGGGGGAGGGCTGCAGCGACTCCACGACCACTGGCGGCGGCATCCTGCCATTCTTCTCCCCGGCCAAGATGGCGGCCGTGGAGGCAGACAGCAAACGCGCGGAAGTTGCCATGGCGTCGCCACTCCTCGCCGCCCACGCCTGCCACCAGGACCCCGCGCCCGCCGCCCAGCACGCCCTCAGTGGCGCTCTGGATGCTTCTACGGCCTACCTGATGGCCGCCGAGGACCTCCACGCCGCCAAGCGGAGACGGGTCTCCACTGATTGCTCCGAGATTGAGTTAACGTAACTTGCTAAACCAACTCTCCATTTGATGGGCCAAAGTTTCCGTTCTCGGCCAAGACCCCCCTCCAGCTGCTTGGCCAAGGTTGTACCAACTCGGCCAAATTGTGCACCTTTTGGTCGGCTGAGGTCTGTATAATGACAGGTAGAAAGGCCAATCTACTCGTTACATAAGACCTTCCTTCTCGGTCAAGGAATTTCTGCTCGGTCAAAGCCCTTGACGGGTAGGTCAACGCTCGGTCAAGCGCTTGGCCTGACGGTGTAAATATGGCCACTTCTTCCTAGACTAGTCATTGGGTAATACCGCCCACCTATATGTTCAACAGCGCATTGTTTAGTGTCGCTTGAGTGTGTGTGTGTGTGTATGATTGTGTATGTGTGTGTGTGCGCGTGCGTGCGTGTGTATACAGATGGTACACACGATATGTGTGTGTGTGTACGCAGCCAGTGTCGTGTTATGACGTATTGCTGTCGTGTTCTCACATGTAAATACTCCCCCCCCCCCCACCCCCCACCCTTCAGTGTACAATGTATAACATAACAAAAAAAACTGGATGACTTTACAGAATGAGATAATGGGATTTTCCCATGAAATTCAGCAGGCCTATGTTGTAATAGGTGTATCAACCCACAGTGTTTACCTGTGGTTAGTACCAAATTACCAATTGGTAATACCAATTATCTTAGTCTTTACATCGAGAAGGTCAACAATGAGTGTTTGTGTTGTATGGACTTGTCAGTCACGTCTAAACCAGGTACTATAATACAACTCTTACTCCATAACAGTGTTTTATTGTTCAGTCCTATATACACTATGTTACCGTTTTTGCTATGAGGTGAGTAGGATGGCGAGTCATGGTGTTTGATATTGATAACGTGAGAGGTGAGTAGGATGGCGAGTCATGGTGTTTGATATTGATAACGTGAGAGGTGAGTAGGATGGCGAGTCATGGTGTTTGATATTGATAACGTGAGAGGTGAGTAGGATGGCGAGTCATGGTGTTTGATATTGATAACGTGAGAGGTGAGTAGGATGGCGAGTCATGGTGTTTGATATTGATAACGTGAGAGGTGAGTAGGATGGGGAGTCATGGTGTTTGATATTGATAACGTGAGAGGTGAGTAGGATGGCGAGTCATGGTGTTTGATATTGATAACGTGAGAGGTGAGTAGGATGGCGAGTCATGGTGTTTGATATTGATAACGTGAGAGGCGAGTAGGATGGCGAGTCATGGTGTTTGATATTGATAACGTGAGAGGTGAGTAGGATGGCGAGTCATGGTGTTTGATATTGATAACGTGAGAGGCTAGTAGGATGGCGAGTCATGGTGTTTGATATTGATAACGTGAGAGGTGAGTAGGATGGCGAGTCATGGTGTTTGATATTGATAACGTGAGAGGCGAGTAGGATGGCGAGTCATGGTGTTTGATATTGATAACGTGAGAGGTGAGTAGGATGGCGAGTCATGGTGTTTGATATTGATAACGTGAGAGGTGAGTAGGATGGCGAGTCATGGTGTTTGATATTGATAACGTGAGAGGTGAGTTGCCTTGTTCTGGGGTAGTCAACGGTCGAACAGGAGTTAGTGAGGGTGGATGTGAGAATGAGTTAGAACGCTCATTTTCCCGAACACAGAGTTGCCAGAGGTGCATGCCCTGTGGTGGGGCAGGCCAGCTACACTGTGGTGTGGGGCAGGCCAGCCACTGTCTAAACTGATTATACAAACAAACTCCCTTGGACAGTCGGGGATTGAACGCCGACCTGCATGAAGCGAGACCGTCGCTCTACCGTCCAGCCCAAGTGGTTGGGCAATTCACTGAGGGAGTTGAGGATAATTCAGTATGAGAAATAGTGAAGGAAAGCGCCACAAATGCCTTATATCCAACAAAAATTTAAACCAGGAAGATAATGATGCATCACGACAGTTGATCAATGAATAAGGTCCGGGGCTCAAGAGCTGGAGCTCATTCCTGCCCCCACAGACACATGGAAAGGGATCGCGCGAAGTTGAGAAATGAAACGGAAATTAAAATAGACAATATTTAAGTTTTAGAAATGCTTATTAACGCACTGAATATTAATGATAAAAGCATCATCATAATAATATATTTGCTATTATTACAGTCTTAATATTCCCATAAATGCGAGTATTACAACAACAGTGACGAATACATCTTCATTCGTAAATATTTTTAGTTTACACAATGATCTTCGTTCACAAAATACAAATCTATTATACATTTACACGTGATAAGCGAGACGATGACTGCAAGAAAGACGATAACAAGAACACAGATGGATAACATATAGCTAGAACACAGTTGAATAGCATACATGATAACATATCCAGGCTAGGCGACATTATTTCACTGAAGAACAAGTCCATATATATGACCAAACTGCTGGTTTGGGCTGTTATCACCGACTCTCTAGTCATCTTGAGTGCTGCGTGAGGTCTTGCACTCCAGTCGTAGTGTTGAGCGCCTATCAGGAGGTCGCCCTTGAGTGCTATAACCATTTGTCAACTCAATTTGTGTTTTGCTCTTGGCAATTTTTTCAAGACTCGTGAACGTGAGGCTACGACCAAACTTTCTCGTCTGCTTCTTTAACTATTAAGGTATGTTAAAACCCAGAAACTTGGCGTTTATTTAGGATTTACAATAGCGAGGATGTGGAAGATCGTCAGACTTCAACACTCGCTCCCTGCTGGCGTTCAGGTAACACACTCCCCCCAGCCACCCGCGAGCGATTTGATGTTGGTTCGAATCCTGACCAGATAGGATTGACTGGGGCGCCAGTCCCTGGTTGTTAACTGATTGGCGGGTTGCGTCTCGGGGAGAAAACTAGCAAGGTAAGGCGTACCACGAGTCAGGATAGGAAGAAACATTTGACTTCCGTTTCTTGTTCACAGGAAACGGAAGTCGGATGTTTCTGGGGCCAGATTCACGAAGCAGTTGCGCAAGTACTTACGAACGTGTACATCTTTCCTCAATCTTTGACGGCTTTGGTTACATTTATTAAACAGTTTACATGCATGAAAACTTGCCAATCAACTGTTGTTATCGTTATAAACAGCCTCCTGGTGCTTCAGAGCTCTTTAACTGTTTAATAACTGTAAACAAAGCCGCCAAAGATTGAGAAAAGATGTACAGGTTCGTAAGTGCTTGCGTAACTGCCTTGTGAATCTGGCCCCCTGGTGTGTCTTAAGTTCTCGCTTACACCAAACGGTGTTAGGTGATTACAAAGAGTGTGGAATACTGTGGTATGCAAACTAAACATACGAACGCTTACACGCATCAGGGAGAAGGTTGGCTCCGAGTTCGTCAACCACACTCGGTGAAGAGTCAAACTATTCCTCCGTTGCCCTAGTCGCCATACCCAGCCCGGGGGAACACGCACGCAGTGATCTTGTTGATAATGCAACGCAACAGTAATTGAAATAAATTTAATACAGAACTTCAGAATTAGAGAGGTGTAGGAGCCCAAAGGTTCAGGATATCAAAGGTACAGGATCTGGGGGATCCTGAGCAAGTGAAGGCGAGTAGCATCGTCCCGCAAACCAAGATAAAAATGATAACTATAAGAACTATAAGAACAGTAACACGTGAATATCGCAATAAAGCCCCATAAGAACGAGAGAAACGCATGCATATTATTTTAAAGCTCCATAAGTAACACAGCAACACATAAATATCGCTATAAAGCCCCATAAGTAACACAGCAACACATAAATATCGCTATAAAGCCCCATAAGTAACACAGCAACACATAAATATCGCTATAAAGCCCCATACGAAACACAGCAACGCCTGAATATCGCTATAAAGCCCCATACGAAACACAGCAACACCTGAATATCGCTATAAAGCCCCATACGAAACACAGCAATACCTGAATATCGCTATAAAGCCCCATAAGTAACACAGCAACACATGAATATCGCTATAAAGCCCCATAAGAAACACAGCAACACATGAATATCGCTATAAAGCCCCCTAAGTAACACAGCAACACATGAATATAGCTATAAAGCCCCATAAGTAACACAGCAATACATGAATATCGCTATAAAGCCTCATAAGTACGAGAGCAACACATGCATATTATTTTAAAGCCCCCATAAGAAACACAACAACACAAGCATATCGCCATAAAGCCCCATTAGCATCAGCAGGGCGGGTGTTGTTCCAACATCATCCAGAAGAGGATTAGCAGAGTGTCTCTGTGTGTTCGTGAATGCAAGTCTTCTTAAAACTCTCACCCCGAGAGAAAAACGCGCGTAAAATCCACATTTTCGCGCGAAGCTCTTTATTCTCCGTGCTAATTACTGCCACAAGTCGAACTGAAAAGTGGAAGAGATTGTATGGACATTTATTCTATATTGTCCAACGAAGGGATGATTTTCTAGTGGTGTGTGTGTGTGTTTATATAAGGTGAGGTATTGTTGACAACCCTTTGTGTTGGGTGTAGCGTTCAGTAAGGTTAAAATTGTGTCTGGCTTCTCAGAGGATGGGTGACCGTACAGGCATAATATTAAAGCGTTGATTAGGGGTTTTCTGACATACACTATGCACTGGTTAAGGCTTCTGATACGCTTGGTGGTGGTTAAAGTGACTCAACAATCAATTCTGGATTGTTGTTGAGGGTTCTGTACAAGGAACAAGGCGGAACTGGTCAGATTGTTGCTGTTGTTTAAGATTCAGCTACTTAGAACAAAAGTTTCAAAGTAGCACGGGCTATGGTGAGCCCGTAGTGGACTTACCTGGCACAGGAGCCGGGGCTGTAACTCCACAGTTGGATCAGATGAAGGCTGGTGAAGTAATGTGTCTGTGAATGTGTGAAGACGTGAGGTTAGCATCAGGTGGGTGTTGATGAGTACGGCTTGGTCGTGTGGTGGTGCTGTGTGGTTGGAGATGAATTTACTACCAAGTGGGTGGTGGTGGTGGCTGCAGGTGGGATTTAGGTATGGCTAGTGGTGAGTGGTGAGTGGGAATTAATGGTGGTGGCTGTAGGTGGGTAAAGGCAGGTGTTGATCATCGCGGGTGTTGATCATGTCGGGTGTTGATCATGTCGGGTGTTGCATCGTCACAACTATGATGGGACCGGATAACATAGACAGGGAGTAAATAATACTTAACCCCTTCCCCTTGAAGCCTGAGTACAGACTGTTGGTAAGAGGGGAGAGAGAGAGAGAGAGGGAGATACAGAGACAGAGATGGAGAGGCAGAGACAGAGAGGGAGGTAGAGAGACAGAGAGAGAAAGAGAGAGAGAGAGAGAGAGAGGGGGGGGGGGAAACAGAGCAAGATCCGCCAGTAACTTGGCCTTGACTGTGGCTGGAGGCCATACAAGATAGCGGCACTGTTTGGCACACGGATGACTAAGCCTCTTAAAATCTTGTTTCCTTGGGCTAACTTGTTAAGCTGACGATGAAGGGGACGTTGTATCGGTAGGGATGTAAGGGGGCGAACAAGGGATTGGTGGCGTGAGGGAGGGAGGGTACAGGAGGCGTTGTGAGGGAGAGAGGGTGAGGGAGGGTACAGGAGGAGGTGTGAGGGACAATGGTTACAGTATCTGGCTACAGTTCCACGTGTGTACTGTATTCTCTGAGTAAACAACTGTACTTTGTAATATGATGCTTGTCACTGGAGTGGAGCCATAGCACAACAAGTTGTCTCACGAGGATTCGAACCTACGTCCGAGAGCATCCCAGACTACTGTTTCCCCAGAAAAAACTGAAACCCTTAAAGAGA